ACAAGTACACATGTACACAGGTGTACAGGTACACAGGTGTACAGGTATACACATACACATGTACACAGGTGTACAGGTATACAGGTTCATATGTACACAGGTGTACAGGTATACAGGTACATAGGTGTACAGGTACAATACACAGGTACACAGGTGTACAGGTATAAACTTGAACTGTTTTGTAAAATCCTTCGATGGACATTTTGACTCCAACAAACGTCTCTCTGGAACTTTGTGATCTTCAACTGAACAAACTCCAGATTATTATTCAAAGTAAATATTTTAGTTAAATTTTATTTTTCCAGGTTCCCTCCAGGTAAATACCAGGTATATTTCCTGTAAGTACCAGGTACATACCCAGTAAATACTTGGTTAGTACCTCTGTTTGTTGTTATTTGTGTTGTGGTTAAAATGAAAACATGATTTTTTAACAGCTCACATACGTGTTTCTTTAAGGAGGACGATTGTTGCTACGTCAACAAACCGAGTCCAGGATCTACATCCTGTGGAGCAGATTGATCCACACAGAGCTTTAAGCTGCTTGAAGCCTTTCACTCATTTGAACGGACATGTTTTGGTTCTGACCTCCATGTTTTGTTGGACCTATTTGGACCAGCCCCATGAGAACTGAACGACTGGCTAACCCTCTGGACAAATGTTGAATTGTGGAAACATCCGGGTCCTGCAGGACCATCACCTCTCCACCCATGAGTCTATCAAAGGTCTGAGTTGTCATTGTTTGCTGCCTTGCCCAGGGGCTCTGTGTCACTCCAGCTCAGGACTGTTTGGATTCAGTGTGACCCAACAGGTCTTTATTTCCAAAGTCCTGGGTAAATACCTGGAGCTAGGTGGAGGTCTGGGAGCCGGATGTGGCTTCAGCCTGAGGCTTTGGACCTGATGGGTTCTGTTTGATTAAAGACTTTGGTCTAAAGCCAAAGATTAGCTCAAGTCAAACACTCCAATGTCGGCTCATTTCTGAACCTTTAGCTGTTTGAAACGTTTTCATTGTCACTTTGGGCAGGTTGAATCAATGGAGACAAGATTCCAAGTTGATGTTTTTTATTCAACAGGAACCCAGAGGAGATCCTTTTCCTGTGGAAACATGAGAACCACTGTCTGGACAGGGTATTGGGAAAACTTGAAGTTAGAACCCCTCACAGATAAAAAAGAAAACATCTGGAGCTCATCTCAGAATATCAAATGGACCTTTTATTTTGTAAACCTCTGAAAGACTTCAGCTCTGCAGGAGGCTTTCTGCCAGGGTCTGGTGAGTCCTGGATATTTGGATCAACATGAAGATTTATAGGTTTTCTCAGATCAATTCAGTTTATTTCAATAGCTCAAAGTCCCAACAGAAGTGGTCTCAGGGCACTATATAACAGCAATCATATACATTATAAAAGCCAATTAGTAAAAGTTATCTATTTAAGGAAGCCAGCAGATTGTGTTGAATCTTCACTTCGTTGCAGTCCCCCATACTGAACAAGCACAAAGGCAACAGTAGAAAGACTCCTTAACAAGAAGAAACCTCCAGCAGAACCAGGCTCAGGACGAGTGGCCATCTATTTTGACCGGCTGGGGTTTGAGAGGACAGGAAGTAGAAACAGACAATAACAGAATGACAGGTCCAGATATACTTTCTATTGGAGGAAAGACAAAAAACACACATTAAGATAGAAATACTTACAAATACAAACCGGTAGAGTAGAGCAAGTAAAGACAGCAGCAGAGTGAGGAAATCAGTCTAAGCCAACAGCAGCAGAACTAAGGGATAGCTCAAGAAACCCAAGCCAACTCTAACTATAGGACAGGTGTCAGGACAGAAACTGGAAGTTGGTTCCACAATTTCAATTCATTCAATTCAGTTTATTTATATAGCACCAAGTCACAACAGAAGTCATCTCAGGGCACTGAACAAAACATTCATCCATCCACCATCTTTACCCGCTTCTTCCTTTTCTGGTAGCAGAGATCACTGGTGCCCATGTTCAGCGGTCACTGTGCGACAACCTTGTGGCCACAACTCAAGGCAGCCACCTAAACAACTGAGGTGCGGAACATGGCCCACTTGGACTCAATGTCCCTCGCCTCAGCTGCGATGTGGCTAAAGCTCACCTGAAGGTTTCAGTTGAAGATCTTTCTGATGGATTCTTCTGCCAGCAGACCCTCACTACACGTTTGGGTCTACCAGTTCTGTCCAGCATCTTCAACAACCCCCCCCCCCCCCCCCAACACACACACTTGATCCTGATCCAACTCACTACAAGGTGGTGATCAGTTGACAGCTCAGCTACTCTCTTCACCCGAGTGTCCAAAACAAACGGTCGCAAATCAGTTGACATGACTACAAAATTAATCATCGATCTGCCCAGGGATTTAGAGCCTTTTCTTTAGCAGGACATATTTTTGTATATAATCTGCGTAACAATGAAAGGAGATCCCATTTATTCTAAAAAAAAAAAAAATAGCAAAGAAGGAGCAGGTACAGCTTAAAGAGGAGGGGACCTAAAACTGAGCCCTGCAGACCCCACACAAAAGAGGAGCAGAGGAGGACACGTGGTCACCAAGGCAGACACAAAAAGTATGCTCGGATAAGCCGGACCTAAACCAGTCCCATGCTGTACTGCTGATGCACCCCCATTATTTCTTTTAACGTTTTATTGGCATTTTCCACATTTATTTACATACAGTATAACATGTACTTGAACAATTCACATTTAACACTACATACAAAAACTTGGAAAAGAAAAAACTTTTGCTTGGGTGCTAATTCTTCAAATAGTCCTTTTGTCTTATCCAGTTGGTTGAGTTCTTTGTTTTTTGTTGTTGCCTTTGGTTTTGAAGTGTCTATTTCTCCCATTTTTCTTCCATTTGTTTGTGCTGTAGTTTCAGGCGATATGTCAATTTTTCCATTTTATGATTTCTTCTATTATCCCAATGCATTGTTCATGACAAGGGGGGTCGACCTTTCCCCATTTCCTCGTAATAGCTTTCTTGCTAGCTATTAACATTATCTTGATCAGATACCTATCCCTTATTCTTACTTTTTCTATGATAGTTAAAATTGCAAAGGTTTAATTACTTAATCTGAGAATTCAGATAAAAACAGAACTAGTAAACATGTCTTTTTGAATTCCATTTTGGATGAGAAAGATTGAGGGTCAGCAACTCAGAGCTGAACAATAGCAGGAGTGGATTCATATACAGTACTAACAAAATCCTGTTGACAGGTTTCTGTGAAGACAGATCATTAATGAACAGAGACTTAAAGGAAAGAGATCTGATGTTCAATAATCCACACTTTATTATATTATTCTGGTAAAGTAACGGTTTATTTTAACAAGATTTGTATTATTTATATTATTAGAGCTGATTTTTGATTTATTTAATTTGGACCATGGGCAAGCTGGCACCATTACTTTGGGGGTTTGGGTGCGTAACAGAGGAGAAGCAGCACAGTGGTGGACTGGCCTAAAGGTGCAGTTGTATTTTGAAGAACTAAAGGTGCAGTTTTATTTTGAAGTCAGACCAAAGGTGTTTTTATTTTGATATAGGAAAAGGTGCAGTTTTATTTTGAAGAGGGACTAAAGGCGCAGTTTTATTTTGAAGTGGGACTAAAGGTGCAGTTTTATTTTGAAGTGGGACTAAAGGTGCAGTTTTATTTTGAGGTAGGACAGAAGATGCAATTTTATTTTGAAGTAGGACTAAAGGTGTGCTTTTATTTTGAAGTAGGACTGAAGGTGCAGTTTTATTTTGAAGTAGGACTAAAGGTGTGCTTTTATTTTGAAGGACTGAAGGTGCAGTTTTATTTTGAAGTAGGACTGAAGGTGCAGTTGGCTGATTAAAGAGCCACATTCAGTAAAATAATTCACTTTATTTTGATACAAAAAAAAAACGCCGCAGTAAATATGTGCAACAAAAACATCTACAGGATAAAGAACCTTGAACAGATTCAGGTTCCGTTTTCACGAGTCACTTCATCCAGTTCTTCCTCTGCGTGGTCCCCGTTATTTATCTCTCCATAGTCCACCTCCATCTGTGCTTCTTCCTCCTCCTCCTCCTCCATTTCACCTCCTACTTCGACACAAAACAAGAATTTATCAGCAGCAAATAAAACATTCACAACTTTAATTACACATTTACAAAAAGGACTAATATTTTTACAGTTTAAAAGTTTTTATGTCCATCTTACAGCTGAGAGTAAAGACAACCAAAACATTTTTTTTTATTCTTGACAGAAGAGACTCAAAGCGTTTTTACAACATCAGTTCATTCTGAATCTGAAGGCAGCAAAAACGTCTGAACGTCCAGGACCAGAGAAGACCAGGTTTAAATGTTGTCCCGTTCTGGTCTGATGGAGGACTCTAGCTGTCCTTCAGTCCTGGATGTAGCATCTATACTTTTAACAGTCTCTGACTGACCTGCTGATAATTCAACCCATTAGTTCCTAAATGTTCCTCCTGGTTCTGATCCAGAACCAACTCTTTAGTTGCTCCTGAACAACTCTTTACAGACGAGTTGCTGCCATCAGATTCAGAAGGAACTCGTATTGTCCTGAACCCGGTTCAGTTTCTTCAGAATCAGAGTTCTAAAATGTTCAATCGTTGAAACTTTGGTTTCAGATTATCTGTTAATCCTGTCGAGTTTGTTGCATCAACGCGTTTATTTTAATAAGAGATTAAACCAGATAAATCCACAAGGGGAAGCCCTGTTTGGTTCAGACTGACCTGGTCTCAGGTCTCGACCCGGGATCTGTCCCGCCTGCAGCATCCCCTTCAGCCGCTCCACCTCGGCCAGCGATGAGGCGTTACTGATGGCGCTCTGCAGAAAAAAAAAAACAACTCTTTATAAAACCACTTTGGTTCTGATCCAGATCGCTGCTCAATAACACCGACACCAGAACACCAACACCATAATCTTCACATTATGTTAATGTTTTGAAATCTAAGGTTAAAGTTAGATTTGGTTATCTACATAGAAATCAACCTTAGTTTACATTAGCTATAAAATGCACCATTATTGAAAAAAAAAAAAAAAAAATCCATCTCTGTTGGATTATGGAGACATTATTTACAGATGTGCTTGTAAGGGTGTCCTTCGTAAGCTGGACACAAGTGATCACTCTGCTATTGGCTTTGTTACAAATGCTCCTTATAGAACACATCATGGTCAGCTCTACTGTTAAATGGACTTCTCTACACACTCGTCATGAAATTCATTGGTTTACCCTCATTTATAAAGACATATAAAGACGTTGCTGGGTTTGTCACCTCCATATTTAAATAATCTACTCAACTAGCACCAGTTTTGAAGTATAACACCCGATCTTCTCAGTATTTGTGGTTAACAACTGTAAAGACAAAGTCTCACTTTACCTCTGCTGCTCCATCTGACTGGAATCTGCTTCAAAGAACTGTTGGTCTGACCTCACTAGTCTGTTTCTAGTTTCAAAAATAGTTTAAATGCCGTGTTTAACGATACTTGCAAATGATTTTGTGCTTAGTAATGTTGCTACAAGAGCCTGTTGGTGCTGCCAGGCCAGCACTGTCAGTACGAATCTGTTCTTAGTGTTTGTCTGCTGAAATAAAGAATAAATAAAAGGTGAAACAAAGAATAAATAAAAAGG